TTGACTATTCGTTTATTTAAGAGGAGAGGAGCGAGCGACGTCGCGTATTCCGCGAATCCGACGGAAATCTTCAAATGTCCTGTTAATGATTGCCCCTTTTCGCGATAATCTTGATGTGATGAAGAGCTTCTTGCTAGAAACTCTCGCGAGAGCGGAAATCTTGCACGCGAACACCGGATGGAATTTGGCGCGAGGCAGAGGACATTCGCGATGCGATTAACGAGCGTCGACTCTCGGACTCCCCAGAATTAACATTCACAATGTCTTAGCACTAACTGATTTGAAGAATACAGTTGGAGATATGACCGAATTGACCGCCGCGAGAATATGAATGCGATCGTATGGCGAGACAATTCGGACCGAATTTGAGACGAGTAAGCCTACTGCGTACGCGACACGAGCGAGAATAAGACACGAAAGAATATCATACGAGAAATGATGATATTCGAAACTATGATCGATTGCTATCGACCAGCTCGAATCGTTGTCGTAGGCAGACTGAATAACGACGGAAAAGAGTCGCGGTCGACCGATTTCCATAATAGGATATTTTCGGCGCCGAATGTCCGAGAATATAGGTGTTTGTCACACTTTTTCTTTCTAAGAAGAATGCACCTTTTTCTTTCTAAGAATCACGCACCTTTTTCTTTGTTATGATCACGCAGTCACGCGTCGATCGGCTGATCGCGACGATGTTTATTCTCGCTCGTGTTTTATTTTTCGAGGCAATCGTTTTAATTTAACGGCGACGTTCGCCGATTGAAATTTAGGCATCGAATGTTTCAATTTTGAACAATAACGTTTCAAAAATATAGATGACATAAAAAAAGGCGAATCAAATTTTGAAAGGGCTTGCTTCAGAAGACTATCAGAGCTACTTTGAGCAATGGCGGAGATGATGAATCATAGACTTCTATATAATATACTAGACTGCTAACAGCGATGTGACAGGCGAAGCCAGGGCAGCCATTTACAATTGGGCAGAATATATATGTGTATATATATATATCTTATAACAATTATTAATTAATTATATACAAATACTTATTATTATATTATTTATTTAGAATAATTAAATATATATTGAATAGTTAGTTTCTAAAAAAAATAAAAGAAACAGGTTATATGTACTTATTGAAAAAAAATTGATATTTCTTTAGAATATCTACTTGAACAGCCAAGTATGCTACAAGTCATTGGCATTTTTATTTTTATATGTGCACTATAGATACACTTGATATTTTTAGTTTATTTTTACTTTTTAAAATGTTTTAAACGTATACGTTTAAAATATGAATAAATGACGTTTGAATGAATGAATGACGTTTAAATGACATGAATCGATCAAATATCGAATTCTTATCGATATTCTGCCCAATTGTAAATGACTGCCCTGGCTTCACATGTTCTTATATCAAATATAGCCGTGTTAGCAATCTAGTATATTCCCAGATAGCCAAGAATGTTAAAATCACGTTTTGCCAAAGCTTTGCGACAAGGTGTGCTATTTGCTGTCATGCCGTGCACGGCAAGATTTGCTCTATTATTTGCGCAAAATGTGCATCACACTATTGCGACAAGCCTTGCCAGCAAAAGCTAAGCTTTTTGCGGACACACCTTGCCACTTTGCGCAAAGTTTGCATCATTTTGCTTGCTGGGTTATATAGACCCAGTCAGCCACGTCTGTTCTAACAGATATTGCCAAGTGCTTGCTACAAATTTTTGTCAGCAGACTCACCACCAGTATGAATGGAAGCCTCCTTGAGTAGTCCATCCTAAACCACTACGCCTAAGCAGCCCCCTCTTCTGCTCCCAATTAATAATACGATCTTCCACCGTCACCACTTGGTGGATCTAGTGGACAGATTACCAGCACTTACGCTGGCACAGATGTACACCGCAGAGTGAAGCAAGGGAGGGATTTAAGGCGGGAGGATTGTCTTGCTCGATTTTTGCCACCAATTTGACGTCAAATCATGTCAAGCTTTGCTCGGTTTTTGCCGTCAATTTGCTGTCAGATTATGTCAGCAAGCTTTGTCACCAAAACACAAGCTTAATGCGGACACAGATGGCACTGGATTTGTTACCAAGTTTTGAGCGAATTTGATGCCAATTTGGCAACAATTTGTTATCAAATTGCTTACTGGGGAAGTCTGTGCTTGAATTAAGTGTCGAGTTAGGTGGTGACTATATTGAATATTTGAAACGTTTCTGTTGGCGACTTTTCTAATTTAAGGCAGAATTTAATGTTGGCGCGTTGTCAAGCGTTCCTTCCATTATATCGATTTTTAAACAAAATTTTGTAACACAACTTCGCGTGACTGTATCTCTTTAACTATTGAACCAAATAATTTAAAACTTGTATCACGTGTTGAATATTGAGTTGTGAATAACCCCCTAAAATGACAGCACAAACGGATCAAACATTCGTAAATACGAAGCGAGTCTCGAAACTTAATTGTTTGACAGTGTATACTTCAAATCTTATGTTAATACCTGTCTTTTCTAGGCTTTATATGCATTTCATGGCAAAAACTTTAATACGAGTTAAGATGCATTTTCACGAGCCGCTGAAATCCATTGTTTGAGCGACAAAAAGAATCACGTGAACTTTTGTCGCTGAACTACTACAGCGGTAACTTTTGTACATGAAAAAGGATAGAAGCGACGAAGTTAAATGTTGCGAGACAGATTTCGCGTTTTTTGTGTTTTATTAGCACTTTTAATATTAACGTGTTGTAAACAGTTGTGGTATGATGGCTTCTAGAATAAATAAATATTATAATTGGATATTAAATTGTAATCGAATGAATCGAGAACGTGAAATCGAATTTCAAAATAACATTTTTGCTGTTATTGTAATACTGTTAACAAATTAAACACAAAAAAAACGTATCCTAAAAAAAAAATTTTGGTTTGCATCACTGTTTCAAAATCATTACATCAGCTACTTTACCGTATGTAAAGTTAGAAAGTGCAAGATGCATGAATTATTTATAATTATCTATAATTATTTATTCTTATTTTTATTTTTTATAAATCATCTTTAATGTTCTCTAGTTAGGCCCTGCACATAATAGAAAAAACAAAATTAGGAATAGGAATATAATATTAAATATTAGAAAAAGCAGTTTGAAATTATTTTACTTCAAACAAGGAAACGGAATGTATTAATTATTTGTAATTTTTAATTCATTATGCGTTAATCCATTCCATTCCCTTGTTTGAAGTAAAATAATTCCAAATTGCTCTTCCTAATATTTAATATTTATTCCTATTCCTAATATTTTCTCTATTATGTGCAGGGCCTTATTCTGCAAGGTTATGTGTTTTCGGTACACACGATCAATAATATCAGCGTTTCACATAGCGTTTGAACGGTAATGCTTTGTAGTTGGACCAGTTCGAACTACAAAATCGTAGCTGCTAGATTACGGGCGACAAATCTGTCGCTTAAATCGCTCATTTTAGCGGTATGTGAAATTGTACCTTTAGTTAAATCTGATTTCGCCGCATAGCGGCAAGCGAAGGACCATGTATATAATAATATTATATTGCAATAATATTCTGTATTACAATTATATTACAATTGTAATGGCCTAGTTTACACCGTCAGACTTTAATACGTACTAAATACTATACTGGCCAATCAGACCCATTCCATTCTTTCGAGAAATAGCTAGGATCGGCCAGTGTAGTGCTTAGTATGTATTAAAGTCACAGACTTTTATATATTACTAGACTGCTAACTCCTACGAAATACATGGCCCCGAAAAGTATCTAAGTGCAGAACACATGCGCACACAACACACACACACATAGGCCCGTATTCATAGCCGGTTCTTATTTCAAGACCGTCTTAAGTAATGTCTTAAGATGCTAATACGGCTCTGTGATTGGTTCATGACATCTTAGGGCTTGAGCAGAATAGCTGACTTGACAATGTTTTATGACTTAAATCTTTGTCTTGAAGTAATGCACAATACTATACTATAGTCAATCAAGACAAGACTTAAGTCATAAAACATTGTCAAGTCAGCTATTCTGCTCAAGCCCTTAAGATTGTTGTACTTAAGACGGTCTTAAATATAAGAATCGACTATGAATACGGGCCTTTAAAACACTTTTCGTCTGTAGATATCGGCCATATTACTTATCCAGCACTCTTCTCTTCTTTCCTACTTAAGTCACGCATGCGCAGATGCTTACTTTTCGTATATAATACTAGAGTTGAGTGATTACTCTATGTAATACATACTTTTCAATTTCTCGATACAGTATATATAAGGGAGTTAGCAGTCTAGTAATATATAGAAGTCTGTGATTAAAGTATATCGATATAAACTAGGCCAATGTTGCAACATAATACATATGATACATCGGCTCGGCCGTCGAGCCTCGAGCGGTAGTGGGGGGACCGTAGGCGTCGCTTCACATATCGGCCCGAAAAGGGCAACTATCTCCAAGCACTGCATTACAGTTTTATATCATATAGGGAGAGAGGGGAATACCTTGCATTATATTATTTGTTACTTCCATGTTATATTACTGCAACAAACAGTATTTATTGTAATGGTAATGGTAAATATATACTTACATGAATTATCATGGCTATCTCACTATCTCTTGTAGCAACCATACTTCTGTCATTTATATTAGCTGACCCACATATTACTGTGTTATCATCTATTATTATTAATTTGCTGTGAACATAGATAAGTTCTGTTACCATTGTACCATTTAACATGGAATGTGTCCTCAAGCCATGAAACGTAATGTATTCACTAGGATCTTCTATACCTGCTTCTATAAGTTGATTTAAAATAGCATCCTTTCCCCTGTTATTAAACAAAATATAAAAAAATTATATATGTTTATTATTTTTTTTTTTCAATTTATATATACAGGTATGAAGAACCATAAAAATAGCCTAGTCAAAAAAAAAAAAAAGAACTACGCGCTCATTTAAAAAACTGTTACATTACTTATTTAATTAGGCCGAGCCAAGTGTTTCTATCGCACGCATGCACATATAACAAAAAATAAATTAGATTTGTGATGTAAAAACATGAATCACCTGATCCAAATATTCAGAAATGCTACCTAGAATCTTGTATAGCTTTATTTCGTTATGAGTATACTATTGTATTTTCTACAATATTTAAATTAGCTAAATAATTTTAAGTTTTGCATATATTTATTAAAATAATTTTAAACTGCACACGCGTCTATTATAAAATATATTATATTTATATCAAATATTGCTTAATATATTTGATATTTTAAACAATATATAAATCTTTTACACATAAATAACTTGTGAAACTTGCATCTTTAAAATAATAATTGGGGAAGGATATACATTATTTATCTTACTTCTATTAAAGATAAACTTGAAAACGCGCTACACTATACACTGTCGAACAATTAAGTTTCGAGACTTGCTTCGCATTTCCGAACATTTGATCCGTTTATGCTGCCATTTTAGGGGATTATTCACAACTCAATACTCAACACGTGATGCAAGTTTTAAATTATTTGGTTCAATAGTTAATGAGATATAGTCACGCAAAGTTGTTACAAAATTTTGTTTAAAAATCGATGTAATGGAAGGAATGCTTGAAAACGCGCCAACATTAAATTCTGCGTTAAATTAGTGAAGTCTCCAACAGAAACGTTACAAATGATTCAACCATAGATATAGTATATCTAGACCGAGTGTTGAGGAGTGAGGGCCAAGGTGCACGTAGAAAAGGACATACACTGTTTCGTGCGCCTTGCGTTCTCTCCCGCTCGCACGTAGCATAGCGTACTCTTTCGCTATGCTACGTGCGAGCGAGAGAGAACGCAAGGGGCACGAAACAGAGTATGTCCTTTTCTACGTGCATCTTTACCCCCACTCCTTAAATAAAGGCAAACGCTCGGTCTAGATATAGTATGTCTATGGATTCAACATTCAACAAGCCTAGTCCTCTGAAGCAAGCCCTTTCGAAATTTGATTCACTTTTTTTTATGTCATCTGTATCTTCGAAACGTTATAACGTCTTATGCATAGTTGACTCTCCGTAGGCTTGTTGAATCATTTGTAACGTTTCTGTTGGGGATTTCTCTAATTTAACGCAGAATTTAATATTGGCGCGTTGTCAAGCGTTCCTTCCATTACACCGATTTTTAAACAAAATTTTGTAACACAACTTTGCGTGACTGTATCTCATTAACTATTGAACCAAATAATTTAAAACTTGCACCACGTATTGAATTATGAATAACCCTCTAAAATGGCAGCACAAACGGATCAAACGTTCGGAAATGCGAAGCGAATCTCGAAACTTAATTGTTCGACAATGTATAAAACTATTATTCTTGCAATATTAATCTTTACTTGTCAAAAGCCGGTATGATTGACTGCGAGTGAAAGATCAATTAAAAATAACTTCTATTAAAACAATCAATCAGTTGTAGAATGTTTTTAATGCCGCAGAATACTAGTAATGTCACGAATAGAGACTCTCTAGGGAGAGATGGCTCAATGAATAGGTTGTTTTATGAAAACAACCATTTTTATGAAAATCGAAAATGAGGAAGACAGAGAAATGAGGAAGAGAGTGCGACCATATATAGTCTCTGAGACATTCAAAAAATTCAATTTTCGTGTTTTTTTTCGAAACCTGTTTCCGGTTTTCATAATAATGGCGACTTATTGATCTATCTCTCCCTAGAGGGTCTCTAGTCGCGAATAGAGATACTCTAGTAAGGGATTGGACAACAGGTCAACAGACTGCGGATTGATCGTCGCTATTCGAAGGACATTTCCGGGCTTCGAAAAGTGCGCGCCATGTTTTTGACAGCTTTGACAGTTGCGCTCTCAGTGAGCTGCTTTGGGGCGTTTTCCAGCAAGGTACACAGATGACACAGTATATTATACATTATCACATGATTGGCTGTCAAATGAAGAAATTTAAAATATAGCCATATACGCGTGATAATGTGTAGTACACTGTGTCGTCTGTGTACCTTGTTGGAAAATACCCTTGGTTAAGTGAATGCAATCGATGTGTAGAAAAATTTATAAAACAAATTCGTAAGTATTATATATGAAAAAGAAGGGATTAAAATCATTTACGTTATTTCCGAATATACAATATATATTATTTAAGATTAAATATTTATAATAAACATTCTCAAATGTCACTTTTGCATTAGAACACAGTTTGAAACATCGCGCGGCGGTTGCTTCTGACCCTCAAATGGCGGTGTATCCGATGCGTTGTCCGATCCTTTAAGGCCCGTCTATATAGGACGCAACACGCCAGACGCAAGCAAAATCGACCAATCATAGTCGAATATTCTCGGAATAATCGACTGTGATTGGTCGATTTTGCTTGCGTCTGGCGTGTTGCGTCCTATGTAGACCGGGCTTTACACAACCCAACCCTAATCCTAACTTGATCTAACCCGATCTAACCTAGACAACCTAGACAACAGTTGGCTGTCTTCGGCTACCCTCTAGTCTATCCCTACCTGCGTACCTGCTGCCATTAATATAGTCTCTCGCGAGGTCTCACGAGAGTAGCATAGCGCCTTAGCGATGACGGACGCGTCGGGCTTACCGGGCGCTACTATGGGTCAGAGAGCAATGTCGAGGCTGTTGCG